TAAAATTGTCTTTTATTGTAAAAAAAAAAAAAAATAAGTAAAATAGTTAAACCTGAACATGATGTAAACATGATGAGAAAACAATAGGACAAAAACTTTTTTTTTTTTTTGTTGAAAATTTTTGTGGGAATTCGTAACACAAAAGATTTTCAACAACAGGAAGAACGGAAAATGAGAGAAAATGAGAGGAAAAGAGAGGAAAAAAAGAGGTTGGAAAATCGGTTGAAAAAAGACAATAAAACGTGATTTTTCAAGCGGTTTTTTTTTTTTTTTTTCTTTCCAACTCAAACGTGAATTATTTTAAACATTTTTATTTATTTATTTATTTATTTGATATAAATTTATTTAGTCGATGATTGTTTTTTATTTAATTTATTTTTTTTGGGGGGGAAAAAGAAAAAAATTCAATTTGATGTTTTTTTTTTGTTTTCAATTCGAAGAGTCGAAAAATTTTCTTAATCGTTTTTTTTTTTCCCTCAGACTAATTTAGTCGAATGATAACGTTTATCAATTGGCATTCAAAATATTTTTCTTTCTTTTCAAATTTATTTTGTTAATTAACATTGAGAAAATTTCGGTTGTTAACCTTTTACCAAATGACTTTAAACAAAAAAAAAAAAAAAGAAAAAAGAAAAAATTAATAATAATAATTTTCGTTTCAGACAACGACGATGATAATAAAAATCGAAAATAAATAAAAATTAAGATTAAAAAAAAGAAAAGAAAGAAAAGAAGGAAAATAGAAAATAGGATTTTTAATAAAACGAGAATGATAAAAGAATTAAAAAATAAAAGAATTTTTTCTTAATTCCGCGAAATGTTTTTCCTTCTTCTTCCTTCTTTTTTCTTCTTTTTTTTTCTCTTTGTTTATAATCGCGTAACAGATCACGTGGAATTTGTTTTCGCAATGGCGGAGAATCACATTCAGTTGTTTGGAGAATTAATAAAAATATTAATATTATTATTATTATTTTGTTTTTTGCACAACAGGAGGGAATGAGACACGTCACGTTATTCGATTGCGATTTAGACGTGAACAACGACGAATGGTTTGTCAAAACCGTTATGAAATCCGATTATGAAAAATTATTAAAAGACGTCGAACTTTATCCCATCGTTTACATAGTCGTACAAACGAAAGAAGGAAGTTTGACTAAAATCGAATTGAGACACGGAGAAGTTGAATCCTCGGAAGCTGGATGGGTCATAAGGTGAGATTTGAGGAAGGAGGTGAAAAAAACCTCGAATCATCATCATCATCATCATCGTTATTGAATTTTTTTTTTTGTTCTCTTTTTTTGCATCCACATAGGAAATTCATGCTCACGCAAAAAGGAAACATATTGGAAATCGGTTTGCTCATAAATCCAACTCATCGATCCGTTTTATTTGGCGAAATCGTTGTGAGCAATCGATAAAAGATCAATAATAATCGACCCGAACGAACGCCTGGATTTCATTCTTGTTTAATTTCGAACCTGGATTTATTATTTTTGCCGTAACGAGTTAATAAAGGATAAGAGGTAAATGCAAATTAAAATTTTCAAAAAAAAAAAAAAAAAAATAAACAACAACAGCAACATTATTAATTTTTAATAACAACGATTATTATTATTATTATTATTATTTTATTTGCAACGTGACGGAATTTTTTTTTCTAAATTTATTTTTTAAACAAAAAAAATTTTAATAATCTGGGTCGACGCGTTACTTTTTTCTTGTACGTACATAACTTTTAATAAAATAAATAATAATAATAATAATAATAAAATTAAACGGTCGTTAAGTTAAAATCGATAAAAAGTTTTTTATTTTTTCTTCTGCTTTTTTTATTATTGGAAATATTTATTTTTTAAAAGGCTGTTATTGATGCCTACTCGTTATTTTAACATTATTTAAAATAAATATAAAAAAAATTTTAATATGAATTTATTTGTCGTTGCTGATGTTGTTTAATAATAATAATAATAATAATAATAATAATAATAATAAAATGCCAAAGTCGTTTATTGGATTTAATTTATAAATAATAACAGTAAAAAAAGTTTTTTTTTTTTCCCCCCCATTTCGATTCCGTTAAAATGTATTTAAAAAGTAATATATATATATATTTTAAAATAAACGATTTTGTCGCGTGAATATTTATTATTATTAACATTAATAATTTTATTTATTTATTTTTAAATAAAATAGGGTCGATTAACATAAAATAACGTATAAAAAAAAAAAAAAAAAAAAAAAAAACGGGGTTCTTCGATTTATTATTATTTACTCTATGAAAAAAATTGGGCGGGCGTAAATTACAATAAATTTATATTTATAAGTATAACGTATAATGTCGTGGGAAAAGTTTTAGAATAAAAATTAGAGAAAAAAAACTTTCACTAAATAGATTTTTACGAATAAAACCAACCGTACCTGAGTCGTACACCCTCCTCCCCCCCAACTACTATTACTAGGGTACTAGTACCTGCTCTCTCACATACCTTGGAGGTTTTGTCGGTTCTAAATATTATTAGTTTTTTTTCGACAACTTTTTATTTTAGGTGTCGAAAAATAAAATGACCGAAATTTAAATTTAATTAATTAACACGTACCCGTTTTTTTACCCTGGAGGGGGATTTATTCCCATATATATTTAAGGTACATGATTGATACAATTTTTTTTTTTTTTTTTTTTTTACTATAAAGCTTGCGGGTGAAAAGAAAACAATAATAATAATAATAATAATACTATCGCAATAAATACGAGAAGAGGCGGGGCGGAAAGGGGAGGGGAAGGAAGGGGAGGGGAAGGAAGGGGAGGAGGCATTTAATTCGAATAATTTAGGTGAAAAAAATTAATAAAAATAAATGTTTTTTTTTTTTTTTTTTTGTACGTTATATAAAAATCACTTCAATTTTTTAAATATTTTTATGATAATAATAATAATAATTTTTTTCTATACGTTTTTAAAACATTTGTAAAAATGTTTTTTCTTTTTTTTTTTTTTTTAATTCTTCCTTTCTCGTTGTTCGTATCTCATTAACATTACAAAAAAAAAAAAAAAAAAACGTTTTTTAACGATTGTTTGAGTCGAGTTTTTAAAATTGAATTTAATGAATTTTTTTTTTTTTTTGTTTGTTTTAAATGCCGAACGAATAAAACATTAAAATTATTATTATTATTAT